CAGTTATTATTGAGTGATATTATGTACCCACATTCAACAAACATTTGTTGAACGTCTTCTATGTGCCAGGCAGTAAGGAAAACAAAGATCAATAAGACATGATTCCTTCCTGTAAAAAGGATGCAAATTCAAGAGGTGGGAGGTATGTGGGAGGTAAAATCGACAGTTTGAATGAAAATTTATTCATTGATTTAACATTCCACAAATGTTTATTGAGCACCTTACTTTATATTAAGTACTGGAGATCAACCATGAACAAAATAAACTTGACTTCTGTCCTCATGAAACTTATAGTCTCGTGGATGAGGTTAGACAATAAAGAGGTAAGTATATAAATAAATAATTGCCAGTTGTAACCATTGTCATCAGGGAACACACAAGTTGCTGTGATAGAGAATAATGCAGAAAAGGATATCGTTATTTAGTGCAAGTGGTTAGGTTCACCCTTTCTCAGGAAGTGATATTTAAGCTGAGATTTAAAGGACAAGATCAAAGGAAGCGCCAGCAAGAAGGCACAAGAGACATGTAAATCCCTTAGGTAGAAAGAGCTTGGTATATTCAAGGGCAAGTAAGAAATGGGATGGAGACTAATTATATAGTGTATGGATTTCTTATTTTGGTGACTAGTTAGTTGAAATAGGTAATGCAGAAGAAGGAACAAGTTGAGGGGGAAGATAATTTCAGGCTGGGATGTGTTGGATTAGAGTTGCCTGTTCACATCCAGGTTATGTTCAATAAGCAATTGGAAACATGTCAGGAGCTTACAAGAAAGGTATGGATGTATCAATCCTCATGGAGGTGACTCCAGGAATCTAAAAAATTAGAAATCATCAACTAAATACCATTAGATGAAGCTGGGGAAACGGACAAGATCACCCAAGGAACAGTGTATAGACTGAATTGAAAGAGAGAATTCTGGACCATGCAGAGTAAGAAGAGACCAAGGTAAAGCAACTGAAGAAATAAAAGGGAAAACCTAGGGAAATGGTATTGTAGAAGCATAGAAAAGAAAATAATTTTAAACAGAAAGTACTCAGCATCATAAAAGAGCCAGTAAAACAAGGATTGGGAAATGTCATTGAATTTTGCAACCAAAAATTCACGACCATGGTGTAGTAATGG